CCCCCCCCCCCCCCGCTGTGCAGCCGGTCTCCTCTCTTGGGGGCTCAATGAATGTTGAAGAAGCGAGTGAGGCAACAGCAAACACAGGCGTGAGGTTTTCTGAGTGCTCCCCTCTGAAAAGGTATTTTTAAAAGTAAATGTTTGTTTCAAAAGCTGTTTAAATAAAGCGCGGTCCCCAGACCGTTCCTGGCCCGCATTCCCACAGATGGGTTGGGAACGAACACCCGATGGATGCATTTCCTGTGGCCTTGCCACCTGGGGTCCTTTCACCTGGAAGGCAGAGAAGCCACAGAAGGGACGCTGGCGTATTGTTCTCAGGGATAAATTAAAGCTTTTAAGAGATAAAAATAGCCCTGACCGGTTTGGCTCAGTGGATAGAGCAGACTGAAGGGTCTCGGGTTCGACTCCGGCCAAGGGCATGTACCTTGGTTGCAGGCACATCCCCAGTCGGGGGTATGCAAGAGGCAGCTGATCGATGTTTCTAGCTCCCTCTCCCTCTCCCTTCCGCTTTGTAAAAAACCAATAAAATATATTTTTTTTTAAAAAGAGAGATAAAAATAAAAGGCGAAACCCAAGATTCACATTCCTTACCAAGAAAAACGTGCTTCCTCAAGTCCTGTTTTGGCTGCGGGGGTGGCGGGTGCGCTTAGCTCCCCCAGGGGAGCAGTGTTGTATCTCTCCCTGATTTTATTTTGGGGGTATTTCGCTAGAAACGCTATGGAGGCAGAGCTGTTTTCCATTGGCACCTTTCCTATTTGTACAGGAAGGTCCAGTAAGAAGACACCGCAACATCTATAGAGGGTTTCGTCTTTAAAAAAAAAATATGTCTATTGATGTCAGAGAGGAAGGGAGAGGGAGAGAGAGGGAGAGAGACATCAATGATGAGCGAGAATCATTGCTGGCCGCCGCCTCCCGGGCCTATGCCCTGACTGGGGATGACCCTTGACCCCGGTTCGCAAGCGGCCGCCCCCGCCGTTAACCTTCCATAACCTCCGCTTACTCCCCGGCTCCCAGGCCGCGACTGCAGCGCAGAACAGGGATCGGCAGCGACCCTGTTTCGGATCGGGAAGCAGATGCCTCGTCTCCACTGCGTTCCCCCGGCTCCGGCAGCGGCACCGGCACCGGAACCGGGGGAGCACC